TCTCTCTCTCTCTCTCTCTCTCTCTCTCTCTCTCTCTCTCTCAAAATCATTATAAGTAATGGCAGAGGGGGATTCCATGGATTCCTGATGAGCCTCTAGTGTGTGAGTATGTTCTGGGGCGTGAGTGGACATGCTTGTTTTCAGTGTCCGCCTCTGTCACTGTAAAGGAACTTTAGGAATTTCCTTTGTTGATACCCCCACCCCTTCCCCACCGAGGAGGAGGGAAGCACTTTCCCACACCACACACAGGCTTTTTCTGGGGGGGGGGGGGGGCTGGAATAGTCACTGATAAACAGCAGAGGGAGAGAGGGGCCTTAGTTGGGTTGCAACATGATTTCACACACGGCCCTATTTCCATCTGGACAGATTAAACACTGCTGTCAGTGTCTTTGTGATGCAGGCTGAACCAATCGAGAATAAACATGCTCACTGACAGACACAGAATGATGACTTGAGGGACAACTTACGCATTGCAGTATGGTTTCTTCCCAAAGCCTTTGTAATTCTTCATGTTTAGGGTCATTTTGCAGGTCTCGCAGCTGAAGCATCCTTTATGCCAGTACTGTCAGAAACAGAGAGACAAAGAAGACACGAAATGTTAAGGGAAGAGATTTGAGACTTTTGTTTCACAATTTTGTGCGAACCCAAAAAAGGACCACACACACAAACACACACAAAAACAGCAACTAGCACAGGAAAGCTAATTGAATACTTTCTATTCCCTCGAGGTTTCACAGGGATACCGAGAATAGTGACTGTTTGAGACTGTGTGAAAAAAAAAAAGAAAAAAAAGTGAAGCGATGTGGAAACCCGGCAGTTTGTGTGCTGCTGGCACTGAACGGTTACAAAGAAGACCAACGTCCCCTTTTGCAAGCAAATTGTGGGCTTACTATTTATGAGAAGATGGGGCTAGTTGCGCCGCTGTGAGCAGTAAGGAACTAGATGTAAAGTTTGTGAGTTCCATCCATTTTCACACCTTTATTGCTCTGAGCTCAGTGTGCAAAATGCACCTTTTGACTCTGTCCGCCCATCTCTGCAGGCCTGCATGTTTCTGTACTGCCACCATCCCTCTATCGCCCTCACTACTCCCACCCACCCGCCTGCTTTTCCTTTTCCTCTCCTGGCCTGAGGGTTCAAAGAGGGATCGAGGGAGGATTGGAGGCAGAAAAGAACTGGAAGGAGGGAGGAAACATGAATGGGAGGAGCTGGAGAGAGCAAAGAGGAAGGGAGGGGTGGGTGAGAGAGAGGAAAAACGCCAGAGACTGAAGCAATGATCTGGCTGCTCCTGCTATATTGTCAAGGAAGGGAGAAAAGGAGTGCGAAGACACGGAGAGAGAAAGAATGGGAGGGGAAAGAAAGAGGGAGTCCTTATTAACATGGCCTCATGGTGCCATGTCATCACCCTCATTCTTTCTCCCACTCTTTAGCACTTCTACACCAATTGCCCACACACAAAACATCCATCTTCTGAACTAAATGATTCAAAACAGGATAAAACTGCACGTCCAAGTACAACATCACTTTGTCAATGTTTCACTCACAAACACGACGCAAGTTTGAGTCCACAGTCTCCTCAGGATAAGACACTACAGGCAGGAACATCTATCATTTCCCTGCGTGCAGTGATACAGTTACAGATAATACAGCGTGTGTTACAGCTGGAAATTAATGAACAGGATGTTGACGTTGCCCGAGTTGCAAAAAGCTGCAGATGGACAGATGATACAATCATGGCGGCGCTATGTATGGGAAACATGACCAAACATGCATCACTGTGGCCATCTCACTTGCTTCCATTATCGAACAAGAATATCGCTTCAGGCGGGTTTTAAGAAACAGTCTTGTCTGGATGTAACGGACCACTCGGGGTGGTATGAGATGACAACAGGCAAGTGTGTGTGTGTGTTTGACATGGGTGTTTGTAGCTGGGAGCCAGCATATATTGTACTAAGGCATACTAAAGAGGAGGCCGAGCCCGGTGCTCTGTTCGGTGGAGCTGTGATCCACAGCCAAAACACAGCCGTCCGACGCAAACTCCTTATCCCACGACAACCCAATCGCGGCCTGAGGGAGTTGCAGAGGGACACATCGTGTTGCTCTTCCCACCGCTCTCTCCGTCTCCATTGTTCTGGCTACTGCTGCAAAGCCAAATCCCTTTACAAACAACAGCATCATGCAGGCAGATTCCATTTCCTCTAGCTTCAGCTGATTTGCAGCTATGGTGGCAGCCATCTTTGCACGCTACACTGGCTTTGGTTCATCTACTTGTAGCAGAGCAGCCCGGCGTGATATTCTCCACGGACTACTGTTGTCCCGTTCTCATTTCCCCAAAATCTGTAATAATGATGAACCAGGGACCAATAGAGAAGTGTGAATGCAATTGCTGTGCGGAGAAAGGTGAGCGTGGACTTTGACACTCCTGTTGTTTCCCTGAATAAATATTGACCGCGGGTTCTATTCCAGAGAACAAGCCTGCTGAACTTAACCCTTCAGCACACTATTGACGAGGGTCTAGATGCAGTCTCGCAGACTACCAACACGACACGCATGCTTCACAACCCACCCCACCCCACTTGATCTACATAAAACTATTACAATTCCTAAGCCCAGCCCAGACCGCATTCTCTCTGCAACAACCCCTAGTGACCTCTCAGGTGAACGGGGATCGGGTTCATACTGAACTGCAACGACCGGGCAGCTCTTCACACAGGCGCTGAAATGAACTCAGGCCACATGTGGTGATGGTGGTCGGGGCAGCATGTGTCCACATGTGCAGCGTAGTGGGAATATCAAAATGTAAATACACTGACACGTTACAAATACGACCACCTGGTGAACTCTAACTTTTATACAGTATGCATTGAACCACTGCAGGCATATTGTCTCGCTGTATGGCTGAACACACTTATATACTCAGCAGTGGTTGCATTTTCTCACAGATATATAATCACTGGAGAGGCATTTGAGACCCATCCCGTCTGAATCTAGACACAATCTAAATATGCAGTATCTGTTAGGCATATATAAGGTCTGGGACTTAGATTTGGTCTAGGATTACGACAAATAGATGCCAAAGGGAAAGAAGGGACAAACAGCGACGTATAGGGCGACAAACATCCCAAATGCGTGATGTTCAAGAGGCCATTCTGCACTTAGCCTTGTCCAGCTCCAGGAAAAACCTGGCTCCTGGGTGCCAAGGCAGGATCTGTCAGTCAGCTTGAAAAATGAGGACACTGCAGAGACGGAGCCCTAGAAATAAAACACCAATAAAAAACAGCACGGTCTTCCTGCATCAGCGCAGCTCAAGGGCACATCTGTATGTGGGCGTCTTTATGCGAATGCGAGCGATAACCGCATGCGTACATAGTGTGTAGTGCAGTCTGTATGTAGGTTATGATGTCTCAGTGCACGATGCATGTGTGTCAATAGGGAAGACTCCATCCAAGAGCAAAAAAATGCTCAGTCAGCCTTGCAGCTTCCCTTCTCGGTGAGATTCAAATGCAAGATGAGCGGGACTGAAACCCTGCAGCTATCTGGGAGGCCAACAGATAACGTGTATGCAAACACACATCACACACAGAGGGAGGAGTAGTGACCGGCAGCATGCTCTCACATACTATCCATCGACTCATTGGAAATGTAAGTGACTTCTATTTACCGCTTACTGCATCAGCATTAGTGTCGAATCTACATTGGGCAGATTTCTCACCTTGTTTGGTCCACTAAACATAGCGACACAGACATAACCTTCGTCGTCATTGATTTGAACAGAAACACCGGCTGCACCCTTTCCTAAAGCCCAGAGACGAGTTCGCATTTTTGTGTTTCCAGTTCCCTCTTGTCTTGAAGTCGATGTTTTTTTTTGAACAGGTTTTTCATTTCGGAAATCACATCTGTGGTTGACATAAGCTTAACAGATTTGTTTTGTTCTACGGCAGTAAATATACACTAATAAATGTCATCACACCGATCACTACTACACCTTAAGCTTAGCGGTGTGATGTGAAGTCATGCGTATAGTTCCTTTGTAGCCTAATATTAGCTCTTACAGTGATATAAAACCCTAAAATAATGAACGGAAAATAATGGACACGCCCTTTAAGTACCTACCAAGTGACTCAGAGCAGGCAAATTTACCAGGACTTGGTTGCTGTTATTTTCTATACTCATTAAATGAACAATATAGTGTGTTATTTTAGATGAGGAGAAACTAAACAACAATCTATAGGCTGCGTTAAGTGGATTTTCACGATCCAGTCTTCTGGTAGTCACCAAATTAAGCATCAGAGAAATTAAGCGCCTTAGAAAACACTAAAGGACATCCTGAGGGATCCTGATGAAATCTTTCAGAAGTTTGGTCAAATCAGCAGCAAATCACTTCAGTCCAAACCACTTTGTGGCTGATGAGGCCTCTGAAGACGCTGCGATGGCTCTTTGACTGTTTATTTTCAACCAAAATATTAAAAGCCCCACCGTACCCACACACACACACACACACACACACGGTGGGCCATTACAGCAGCTAACATGTGAAAGACTATTCTTGCGTAAGCGGTACATGCCCACAGACACACTGCCCACAGACACACTGCCCACATCTGGCTGGTGCTAATAAAGCAAACCAACTCATTAAAGCATGCTGGTTAATTAATCATTGCCCTACCTGATGCCATTAATTCTTACCCAAGCCCAGGGGCTTAGCTGCTGGCCAGCAGGCAGACGGAGTGATGTGAACAGACATGCTATGCAAGAGTACAGTACACGCTTAACACCATTTTTGTGACCACTCTGGACTAACATACACATCCTGCCACACTTTAATAATAACAAAAACGATGAGGTGAGCACGGTAAAGGTGACGTTATATTAAACCAGAGCATAGACGGACCATGTAATTGTGCTGGTGTGAATAAAGCTGCAACACATCGAGAGAGAAACAGAACATGTGCGCTAGTTCCTCTTCCTGATAAAAACGCACAAAGGAGAAGTAGCTTGCTGCTAACTGTGGAGTCAAAACCTCGGCTGATTTTGACTGTAATGTGCGTTAGTGAATGCGAGTCATTTAAAAAAAAAAAGAAAAAGAGGAGGTGTCTCGTGGTGGCCGGACAAATTCCTCACCTCTAGTGGCATTCTGGACGACATGAATCAGCTCTCAGAATAATCTGTCTGAATATAGACAAGGCGGTAGACAGATTCCTCTAAAAACACCAGACCATCCGAGAACAAAAACCTCCCCGTTTAAAAACAGGACATGTAATATCATCCGTGATTAACATAATATAAGATGTAACATTAATCATTATAACATATGCGAGTAATATAAACAGTGAATAAGTTATTCTACGGAGCACACTGTTCTAAGAGAATAACAGCTTTAATGATGTCTCATAAGAACAATTTTTATGCATTTGATTTTACATGACTAAGCACGACGTCAGCGCCTTCATGCCGTAAAGACTGGACAACAAGCATACTGTACTCTTCTGACCTTTAACCCCAATTTCAAGCAATTTCCTGTGATTGAGAGGCACCAGTACAATCGAGTCTCACATCTCAAACAGAAACCCCGCACTGAAGCCAAATAACACTGAAGCCAATTTGTTAGCTAAATAATAATAAAAATTAAAAACAATGCACCCAAGTCGTAGCTGTGAAAGCTGGAGCACAAAACTTTAGCTGTTCTTTGCTGTAATTGATTGTTCTGTGAAGAGCATAACAGCAGAGTGGTTTTCTTCTGGCCCGTCTGCATTTTAAAAGCCTTCAACCACATGCCGACGTAAAGAAAATAACCTCCTCTTTGGGTTCTGTCCTTGCATCCTTGACTTTCTTCTCCACTCACGGACTGTTTTGATGTCAGTGAGGCCGTGTCTTCTCTAGGATACTCGGTGCCATGTGGGAGATCTTTTGTTGCATTAAAAAAAAAAAAAAAATGTATCTGAAACAAGCAAACAGGTCTCGCCTCTGAAGACATCTCGCCAATATTGAGATGTTTTGACACTGCGAACATATTAAACATACATCGAAGAGCCAGTAGCAATGTTTGCGCTTCATACTTACTTATTAAAAAGGACGAGCTGTCGGAACGTGTCACGTTTCTCGCATTATTTATAGACCGCGAAATACTATGTTCACTGAAATAATGGCCGTTTACTATGCAGGAACCGGTTACACCGCTCCATAATCGACGGCATAATAGCACAGTTAAATATTAACAAATCTGGTGGAGAGTTATAGGAGGACTCTTCATCTGCAGGTAGGAACAGGCTCTCTGTGATTCAGACATGCAATATACAGCTCGTAGAGATATTAAGTACACAGACACTCCAGCAGAGAACCACTCTACACCAACCTCTCTATTTATCTCGACAATACACACTTCCTGAGTGCTGGAAATAGCTACAAATCTAACAGAGATACACACAAATCACTTCTCTTCTTCCGACATCGCCCATTAACCTAAATGTGACCAGTTTTACTGGTAAGCTTTATATATAAAAGGCACTGGTAAATACAGTTTATGTCATTCACCTACTACCACTTCCTCGTTGGGAGTTTCACTGGCTGAAGTTCAACAGCTACAAAAAGCTAACCTGAAAGATATGAAGCCTGAGACTTGAGCCAAATAAGCAGCTCTTACAATCAACAAGTATTTTTAGGCCTGAAAGTAAGACAAATAACGGCTAAACCGCCACGAACGAGAACAAGAGCCTCAACTGACATGCACTTCCTGTCTTTACATGTGCTGGGCCCAGCCCCGACTATACTGGAATGCAGCTGACAGACAAACAGGCCTCTGTGGCTCAGCCTCTCTCTCTCTCTCACACACTCACACTCACACACACACCAAAGAGGGATATTATAGATGAAGCCTGTCAGGTAAAAGGCATTCATCTAGAGAACCCTCCATTCCCCCTGCTTTCACCTGAGCTAGCCTAGCAGACAAACCCCAGCCAGTGTGGGCTCAGCTGCTTTAAACAAACGAGAAGAGCGGTGTTTGTGTGTTCCACGGAGAAGGGAGAAGGGTTGGTTGTGTTTTGGCGTGTCTGAAGGTGTGAGCGCTGATGCGGAATGGCAGCAAAGACAGACTACTCTCTCCTGTGCTCGGTTCGGAGCAGGGAGACGGCACAGCAGGCATCTGACAGAGCACATTTTATGGGAGTGTCCGTGTGCTGGAATGCACTCTTGCTTCAGGCAAAGATAACCAAAGCACACAGAGGGCCGTACTTGTGGCGATACCAGCCTGCCAACATGCTAATGTGACTCATATTTGTTTAAGGGGCCCTGCGTGAAGAGTGTGGGGTTCTGAGAGAAATCAATTCCAGTCCAAAGCACTCTGGGAAAACATTAGTCATGGTGCATTCAAGAACACATCCATGCAGAGAGCAATAATGCATCCAATCAAGAGCTGATGTTACTTTAGATAATGTGCTCTTTCATCCACCTTTATTGTCGGTCCACCCCAAACAGATAAAGAAGTCCCAGCAGGCATTGATTTTCAATAGCTGACGTCCATTAGACAAATAATCTACTTGCTCAAAGACCTGCTTTGGTTAAAAAAAAAACAAAAAAAAACATACCTATTGATATGCTAAACGTTGCAGACCCCAACCACATAGTAAATAGAGTGTGTTACATGCATCTTGTTGAAAAGTTACAGTGAGAGCATTCAATACATGCAATAATCAAACCATGATCACCTTTACCTCCTCATAGTGGTGACAGGAGAGAGACATGCTGTGCCTGTGTTAACTCAAATGTTAGCTCACATGTGAATTAGTGACTCACTAAAAGGGTCAAATTGATGAGATTAGCACCTTGGCTGAGATTACGCTCCTGCTTTTGACTGAAAACTAATCCAGGAGGCTCCACCAATGATCCCTGACTTGGATTAACCGGTGTATTGGACACGGATATGTCTTTATCAGTCCACGCTGCCCGCGAAAAGCTTGGTTATTATGAGACTAGTGTTCAGTGAGAAACCCCGTATCGTTTAATATGTGTTAAGGTAACCGCTTTGAATACAGACTTCGAGTTTCTAGACCAGGTTAGAGGCGTTAGCTGACGTTATTCATCAGTTTTCTTCAGCCAGGCCCGAACCAGAGGCTGTCGGAAGCACCGTGAAGGCGCTGGTTTTTTTTTAGGGTGAATCCATTTCGTAGCCTTGAGTCATTGTCCGGTGAAAAAATAAAATACACATTCTGCTTTCTTAAAGTAGACCGTCATCCACACGATAAAGTGTATTTTCCTTTCCGTTCCGCGCCCCTGTGCCACCGCCTTCCAGACGTTAAGCTAGCCGTTAGCTTGCTAGCGACATACCTGTTCCTGTCGGGGTGTTGAATTCATTCACAAAAAAACATGTGAACGGTGTCATTTTGAGCAGAAATACGTGCGGCCAGTGTACAAAAGGGAGGGCGGCGTATAGCGCTTGTTTTATAAAAGAAGAATACAAAGTAAGACGGCGTTCTGGTGGTCTTACCTTGTCCAGACAATTCACTTTTTCCGTGGGGTAAACGACTTGTTCACATCTGCCACACAACGGATTCATGTTGGAGGAATGCTCTTCTAGCTAGTTAGCACGGAAACCGCCGATGATACCGATTTTGTAGCTTTGTGCTGTCGAGTCCTCACTTCAGAAACTAGCTATATAGTGTACGAATGTGACCAGTAGCAGACCGACACTAATCTAGTTGTGTGTGTAGCAAATCCAGGAGGTTGTTGTTGTCGTTGTAGCCGCACAGCTGGCTGTCAGTCCACTAACCAGACACGGAAAGCGCGCTCCCGCTTCGCGCACCCCCCCCCCTCTCTCTCTCTCTTCCTCCCTCGACTGCGCGTGTCCGATCAGAAAGGGAAGAGGCAGTGTGGGAAGTTAATTGTTTCACTTGGAAGAAAGATTTGATCACTATTTCAGAGGAACTAGGCCGTCTATACATTGTACATATTTAACTGAGGCTCAAGTATTGTGTATTGCAACACAATCCCACTTGTGTGTCGGTGTAAATAAATCCAGGTCGACCCTTGTGCATGTCCCACATGTCTGCCCTCGTCCCATCTGTGCTCGCATAGCAAACGCGTGCGATCATCTTCATTGTTGCAGGTTTTTGGGGCTTTACCAATCCAGTGATCTCAATTCAAAATGTGTACACATCTGCCACGTTCACTGCATGTCCTACTTGATGTCCATGTGATACATTTGGTTAGGCTGACACCTGTTGACAAAAGAGCTGTACTGTCTGCATTCCCACAAATTGACATATCACTTTCTTTTGGGATGTTCACCCCTTTCATGTACAGCAACAAGTGCTGCTGAATCTGACATAAAAAAAACACCAAAGCCTTTCAGGCTTGAGTACTTCAGGAACTGTGTAGTATGTTCCTGCAAAAACAAAAGGTGAAACTACAAAGAATCAACTCCACCTTCAAAAGTAACAGCAAGTGAAACTGAAGCCCAACCAGATCTTTATTTGTTTGATGTCAAACAGCATATGTATTTTATCTAAGGTTCCCAACCTTGTGGCATGCATTGCACAATTAATTGCAGACAAAATTTGATAATGTTTAAAAATGAGGATGAAATGAAACACATTATTACAGCAGAGAAATACATTTCCAATGAAACCATTCAATATCGTATAACATTCAACTGTAATCTACGCCAACGCTTTGCAATGGAGACATGGACAAATTTATATATTTGAATTTTTGTAGAAATCAGTTCAATGCAAATATTTATCCATCATTTCAACATGGCCCAGCTTCTACAATGCTGTCTCTTTCACGACCTTCTCCTTCCACTTCTGTGTAACCAGGGTGTTGCTTCTGAAACTTCAAAGACGGCCAGTAGTTGTTGCGTCGCTAAAAAAAAAAATCAAGCACAGAAAAATTGTGTGGACATGTGTAATTAAAGCATGGCTATTGTCGTGGCTATTGTCGGGGCAGGTGTAGGCCGCATTCAATGCTCACCTGGATGAGGTAAAGTGGTGATGCAGCAGTAGGATGGTAGTTGATGTAAAGAGCAACTAGTATCAGAGCCAAAAGTAACACCAGCGCAGCTGCTATACCGACTATCACGCCTGAGTTGGCCCACCCCTCACTCTTGGTCGAAGAATCTGTCCTCACGTCTGTATCGAAGATGAAGCCCCAAAATTATCTCCCTTCATAAGGCTTAACTATAATGGCACTTACAGGTATTAACTCACCATTGCCGGTCTTAAATATGTGAGGTTTGGTCTCATCTGAGAAAAGACAGAAAGCAGTCATTTCCATACTTATTTCCTGGCAGAATCAGTTTTTATTGAGCGAAAAAAATGTGGTGAAATACTGCATACACGATACGGTACTGTATACCATTCTGGAAAAATAAATAGCTCAGCCTCACCGTCACAACCTTTTTGTAGAGGAGTCAATGAGGACACGTTCTCCGTCTCGGGTGTGGTAGAGGAACCAGTGGAGCTGTCACCCCTGGAGTAATCCTCACAGGTTGCATTTTTGCTCTGCCCGTATACAACATAACAGATGCATGAGTCTCAAAAATGGAAAATAATCCGATATATTTATAACTGACGTCCAGCAGTACCTCTTCTGAACAGGCATAGTCCAACCATTCTTGCCTGTGTCGATCCATGCCATCTGAACACCTGAAAACACACAAGATGTATATTTATAAGTAATAGAACTGCTGCTATATGGACATTTGGGCTACCGTAGTGTCCCACTCACCTCTGGAGTACGTTGCACCAGCTACAATTGGATGTTTGGTTGGATGACAGGCAGAGCTCGCAGCTGTCATGCTGCAGGCAGGCTGAACAGAGAGAAGGAGACAAGCACAACAACAGAAGATGTATTGCTTGAATGTTGATGCAGTCTAACGTATTGATTACTTGAAACTAATCCTTTAAAGATGAGGGATGAGGATCACTTACTAGGCAGTGGAGTGAACTCGACAGCAGAGAAGCTGATGATCTTTGTGGAGTCTATTTCAACCCGATGGTACTCATGAATCGTCCGCTGTTGGGCATCTGAATCAGAATCAAGTTTATCGCGAGCAGATTTTCACATACAAGGAATTTCCTTTGTTATTTGGTCGTTAACAATAAACATAGTACAGAAAGGAAAAAGTACTACAAAAGTCAAGAATCGTAAATATAACATAAAAATATGGGGTGGGCAAATGTTCACAGTATAAAGAATATGTGCAACAGAGATAATAACATAAAAGACGTGTGTTCATTTAACGCATTGACTCAGACCTGTGGTAGAGATATCACAGGCTTAAATACCCCAAATCCCCAAAAACTCTCTGATTCTCTCTACATAGGTGGACCGGCATTAATATTACTGCTGACCTGGTGATTGAGGAGAAGGTTCCGTGACCATGAAGGCGTCAGACAAACCGGCCTTTACCGGATGCTCAGCTGAACCAATCCCATCTAATGACAGAGGTATCTGATGAACACACAAAAAGAGGAATCGCTTACGCATTCAGCACAAGGGAAGAGAGCAAGTTTAGAAGAGCACAGACGTGTGTCTCACATCTCGATAGCTGAACGTGATGGTTCCTGTTCTGTAAAGTGCAGCCTGGAACGTAAAGACGCCTTCTGACTCTTTTCCGGGGAGTCTGACCCGCTCCCACTGGACCACAAACACCTCACCTGAAAGGAGTGAAGATCAAACAGGAGTCAGACAAGTAATCAGACAACATGTGTTCATATATGAGCTGGTATCTCACCATTGTCCAGGTATTGCACAGTGGATTCTTTAGCGTAGCTGGGGTCAAAATTAGCCATTAGAGGGGCGATGTACTGTGTGGCAGTCAGCATGCGGTGAGTAATCTCCCCTGTGAAGATAAACCCTGAAAATGGCCAGACGGAAGAACATGTAAGGCCCGAGTAAGACTTGTTAGCCCGCAAAAAAACACTTCTCTGCTGTGAACATGTGCAGGAAAGGTCACTTGAACATCTGCTATAAAATCAAAAAGTACCTCCAGTTGCTATGGTGATCTGCCTCAGGTAATGTCCGTAGAAAGGAAAGTCAAACGACAGGGCAACCTTCTGCAAGGAGATAGACACAGACAGAGAGAAAGAATTAGACATTGAGCTTATATTTTGATCTTTCTATGGCACAAAGTATCCTCACCAGCTCTTAAAGAAGGAGGAATGAGGAGAATAAATGCATAATGTTGACGTAAAAACTATGTTTTGTTTCATTTATATATGTATTTTTTTCAAATGCTCTACCACTGAGCTCTACCCCCATGTCGTCATTGTACACAGTTAGCTCAGCGACATGTACACTAGCAGGCATACTGAACTATATTGCAATGATCTGGTTAAACCACATAGACACAACTTGCAGCGGGTCATTGAGGTTACCGGGCGGGAACCTTTCAAAACAGATATTCTGCTAGCTGAGATCTTCAACACTATGATTCACTCTCAACATAATTTTATCAGTCTCGAGATCAGTAGAGCAAATGGGAAAACTGATGTACACGATAACCTTCACTGCTGTTTTAGCAAACTGCAAGCACGTTTTTCTCCTTAGCTTCATCAATTTATAATCTGATGTAAAAACTGTTCCTTCCCCAACTATGTAACCTGGATTGGATGTTTCTATAAAAGCCAAAGTACTGTTTCCACTTGGAGAATGCCTTCCCATATTAAAGTGAGCTGTATGTATTACACAGGTGTCAGGTGTTGGACAACAGAGGTTAAAACATGGGCAGCCTCTGGCACGGCATGTAGCTCTTGGCATCTACCAACATTTCCCAGTCCCTTGAGCTCCTCTAGCAGTGGTACCTTATGTTTCAGACTGAACTCCATCCTGGCTTGCTGTCACATAACATGCAAGCAGAATTTCCGAATTAGCTGTTTGTGTACAGTACTTGTATACTTGCTGCAGTGTTGGCATTTTGCACTCCATTTCACTGATTAGTTTTGATAGAAATTTGGAAAAGTCCCGGTTTGTGTCCATATCCCAGGGGTGACTTTAGAAAGTACATATGACACAGCACTTTGAAAATCCAAATATTGAAAAACATGTCTTCACAAGCAGGGTGCACATGGATTAAAACCACAGACCTCTTCATCTGCAAAATGCACAGAGCTATACAACAACTACCGTACATTACCTCTTGTTGATGGCCTAGTATAAGACCATTTTAATGATGATTGATTTAAACTGGGGTTCACTGCAGTCAAATGCTCTACCACTGAGCTACGCCCACAATAACACTAAAATGTAAGTGTTTATACATACTCTAGGGAATGACCATATAGATTTATATGTTTACGGATAACTAACACATAAAATAAGAGCTCTGATCATCATATATGTTTACTATGGTATAGGGTAATGTGTTGGAATGTCTCGTTGACTGGTAAACAGCCGTTATCTGTGTCTCAACAACATCAAAACAGTTCATTTGTTATTTCACTGATTTATGCTTTAATTAGGGGGCACCCAGGTTGAACTAGGGTCCTCATAATCTGCAATCCAATGCTCTACCACTGAGCTATACCCCCCAATGGAGACTTTCTGAAAGCCAGTATAATCAGCATAGATAAAAATGTTTCTCAATAACTAACACATTAAATGAGAGAGTGCATCTCCGGTGGAGAATACATCCCACTGCATATTGACAGCTTTAAATAACCTTATGGATGAAATGTTAACACATGTTGCAGATTGCATGATCTACTTTAAATTCAGGTGTCTTTTCTTCAACAAATAAAGAATCAGTAAATGTCTGTGTACTTAAAATGACTGAAGTGTTGAGCACTTAAGCCCTCACCCGGGACATGGGAATCA